CAATGGTAAATTTAAAAGGTCATGTAGAGTGAGAGCCACTCTCTCGGCACATTCAAGAAATGATGCAACAATATTTCAGGAATCCGTCAGTGGTCTGTCGCAAAGCAAATTTTCTGATTCTATTCAATAAACCCTCTTTCTGCAATTATTGTCATCCAGTCACTGAATACATATTGTAATATGTTCTCTTTCATGAAATATTGCCACTGGACTTTCAAAATTAGCACATAGATACAACAAATTACAAAATCTGAGAATGTTGCACACATTGGTCTAATCAATTTAATCATATTGTTATTCACCTGCCGCTTGCATTAAGGTTTATCCTTGTCTATCTGTACATCCTGAAATTGGTTTCCATTCTCTAACTTAAGTTTGCCTCAATTAAATGTTATGAAACTTATACACAATATTTATTTCTATCAAACATAGATCAAGTTCGAATTTGGGTGGCGTAACTTTCACGTTTCCACACTCTAACAATGCTTATTACCACCAGAGTATTATATGTCTCTGTTACCACCAAACACAGATCAAGTTCGACTTTGGGTGGAGTCATTTTCACCGTCCTTGATTTATGCTCCTGTATAAAAGGAAAAATTGGCGAATTGGTTGTTTTGCGCACTCAAACTTATTGCAATCTCTAATGACAACATACAGAAACAAATGACATTTAATTTAAAAGAAGACACAACGTCAATAGGTTTGAATTAGTACATTAACTCTTTCATGCTTACAAGTGGGGGGATCTGTGTTCCATGGACAAATGTTTGCTATGGATTTATTTTCTTTTGAACAAAATAGCCATACAAAATTTGCTCATCTTGGAACATTAAAAATTAAAAAAAAGGTAGTATGTATGCTGCTTCACTGTGTTGGTAGTATATATGTACACTGCATCGATCAATACACATTTCAGAAGCCTCCCAACCCTCTGGACTTACATATATAATACACAATTTATAATCTATCAAATTGAAATTTAGACATCATTTTCATTTGTAAGCTTTTCCTCTGAGCATCTTTTCATCATATGATATCTATGATAGTTTATAAATCAGCTGAAAATAAATATCTGTGTCAGATGATTCACACAACATCCTCCCATCTGTTACCTTGCTTCAGGTAATTTGAGACATACTGTAAAGGTATATCAAGGTTATATATCTGATAAATATTTATATGTATTTCTAATTAATAATGATTTAAATAATTAACTTATTTTTATTACATAAAATGATGTAAGATTATATTTTTCAGATTTGATATCTATTGTTTGGATGTGTGTATTATATTTCTATTAAGTCTACTTATTTGAATAATTAACCGATGAAGCCCATATTTCCTTCCCTATGCTTCCATTTGCATGGTAATCATCTTATAGTTTGCCTTTCCTATCGTAGGTTTTGTATATTTTATATTGTCAGATCTTTATTAATCCCAGATAATTCTCTTCACAACTTTTTTCTGGTGTTGAGGTGATTCAGAGCTTGACATAGGGTATAGTTATTTGATATGTGTTTTTCTAGTGTTGAGGTGATTCAGAGCTTGACATATGGTATAGTTATTTGATATGTGTTTACTGTTGAGGTGATTCAGAGCTTGACATATGGTATAGTTATTTGATATGTGTTTACTGTTGAAGACCTATGTGCAGATCTCGATGCCTTTTAAGTTTTATTGTGTTGATGGGATGCTGTTCATTGGCATATACCCCTTCTTTTATTCATCATATGAAATCTTTGTCATGAGATGTAAGCATGCCACTGGATGTTATGTAACCAAAAATCAATCAATGGGATGTAAGCAGGCAAACCACCATTTAATCAGTATTGTTATCAAGCTGTCAATATTTCTACAAATATCAAACATTTACCTCCAAACTGTTTATAAATAAAATTTAGTTTCATTTTATAATGGCTGCCCTTTCATATAAATAAACATAGTTTGACCATAAAAAAATACAGAATATTCATGTTCTTTTTGTCAGTAGGCTCATGTTAGCTTTGTTTAATAATATTAGTCCAACTTCAGAATAGTTTTTGTTCCTTAAATGAGTCCAAAGATGAACATGTACTTGTTTGCTATGATAAACCCCCATGATGCCCCCCCCCCCCCCCCCCCGGATCGCCTATGGATGTATTTCTATTTGTATCCATCTGATGTGTTAAGCCTTTTTCAACTGATTTTTATAGTTTGTTCTTATGTTGTACTGTTACACCACTGTTCCAGGTTAGGGGAGGGTTGGGCACCCGCTAACATGTTTAACCCTGCTACATTCTATATGTGCCTGTCCGTAGCCTGTAATTTAGTGGTGGTCAAATTAGGCCGTTAGTTTTCTCGTTTAAATTGTTTTACATTTGTCATTTCGGGGCCTATTATAGCTGACTATGCGGTGACCTATAGTTGTTAATTTCTGTGTCATTTGGTCTCTGGTGGAGAGTTGGCAATCATACCACATCTTCTTATTTTTATATTAAGGTCAGATTAAGCCTGCCAGGCGGACATCAATACCTTACACCGAATATAGTTGACCAATTGTTTATAGTATCTGAGATACGGACTTGACCACAAAAACTGAACCTTGATCACTGATCCATGAAATGAGGTCAAGTCAGGTGAACCCTGTCTGACAGACATGTAGTCCATGCAAGGAACCCATATACCAAATATAGTTATCCTATTGCTCATAATAAAAAAGTATTTCACATAACAAAAAAATTATATAATTTTTCTTAGAGCAGTCACTGAACCATGAAATGAGGTCAAAGCTCATGAGAATTAGGAATTATAGGAATTCTTATTTTTATGCAAAATTGGCTGTAAAATTTACCTTTACTTTATTTTTTATTTTTAAGGAGGGGAAGCTAGGGCATCTATGCCTTAATTTGCACCTTAAGTTGATATATTTAAAAACATCTCTAGATTTAAAAAAAAAATTTCAACAGCCTCAAAATATTTCAAAAATATGATTTAATAGCCGACAGACATTTAATGCTTTACAAGTCACCATTAAAAAAACTATAGAAATTGTTTTCCACTTGAAAATATTTCTTAAGGTATTAAATTGCTTCTGAAAAAAACATGATGAATGGGTTCAAACTGTAATGTTTATTGATCGTCATGGTTACAAAAATAAAGTATCATATTGTAGCAATACATGGTTCATGCTGGAGAAAGCGTTGTGTTGATTTAGATGTTTGGTGGGAATATCAGTGGCAGGGTTGAATGTTATAGGGGTGTTTGTAAGAGATTCTCTCATGTTCAGTAAGGAGAACATTTAAGGAACATCCCTATCCAGGAAATTCTGTCAATGTTCTTATAAAGAAGAAGACCAGTAAACCAACTAAGTTACTTTGATTAGATATTAGTTGCGTAAGAGCAATAATATTTAAAGGACACTTTGTACCAGGTACCAGATACAAAGTAAATGTGCAGGTTGGATTAAATATTGCAAGTTGACAGAGCAGACTGTCCCATTGGAGAACAGACTGTACCAGCCTGCACTGTCTTGAAGTGACAGAATGTCACATCTTGAGGACAAGCTGTTAGATTGTATTATATTTGTATACATATAATTGTTCGTTGTTGCTTTATATCTGCAAAGAGCCAGTGTGTATATTTTAGTTCGTTGTACATAACCTAGATAGATAGTTATAGATTTTGGTATCACTGTATTGTTTATGGACAGATTGAATCCAAATATTTACTGGAATGATCGTTTAAGATATAAGCACCTTAATGGTACTGGTAAAACGTTAAATAAAATGCTCCACTGGGCGCAGCTTGATACGACCGCAGAGGTCGAACCCTGAACAGTTATGGCAAGTATGGACACAACATTCAAGCTTGATACAGCACTGAATTTGGATTATAATTTAATATTTGACACAGCATAGGTTTCTGACACAGAATGAATGTGGTCTAAGAACTTAAAATTTTTTAATTTACCTATTAAAACCATATCATTATTATTTGCTTTTATATATAAATCAGAAATAACCAATTTAAAATGGAAAATTTTAAAGAAAAAAAAGGAAAAAAAAATCCCCCCCCCAAATTGTTTGAAACCCCTTATGATTCATCACCCCCAAACTCAATCCCAGCCTTCCCTTTGTGGTATGGTACCTTGCAGTACAATTTCAGAGAGATCCATGCACTTGAACACAAGTTATTGTCTGGAAACTAGAAAAATGCTTGTTTTTTTCCCCTTTTTGGCCCCTAATTCCTAAAATTTTGAGGCAATTACCCCCAAAATCAATCCCAGCCTTCCCTTTGTGGTATGGTACCTTTCAGTAAAATTTCAGAGAGATCCATACACTTGAACACAAGTTATTGTCTGGAAACTAGAAAAATGCTTATTTTTGGCCCCTTATTCCTAAACATTTTAGTCAATTACCCCCAAACTCAATTCCTGCTTTCCCTTTGTGATATGGAACCTTGCAGTACAACTTCATAAAGATCCATACACTTACACACAAGTTATTGTCATGAAACTAGAAAAATGCTTGTTTTTTGCCCCTTTTTTGGCCCCTAATTCCTAAAATTTTGAGGCAATTACCCCCAAAATCAATCCCAGCCTTCCCTTTGTGATATGGAACCTTGTGGTACAATGTCAGAGAGATCCATACACACAAGTTATGTCTGGAAGTTACAAAAATGCTTATTTTTGGCCCCTTTTTGGCCTCTAATTCCTTAACTGTTGGTACCATAACCCCCAAAATCACTCCCAACCTTCCTTTTGTGGAATTGAACCTTATGGTAAAATTTCATAGAGATCCATTCACTTAAACTAAAGTTTGAGTGCGAAAACTAATGTGTCTTCGGACGACGAAGCCAATGTCATACCAATATACGAACGCAAAATTTTTTTGCGGTCGTATAAAAACTATTTTTCAATTCCTAAAATAACTTCTAAATTATAACAAAACAATATTATCCTTACTTAAAATATGTGACATACAATTCATTTCAATCTATAAACCTGAAAAAATGTCATGTTATCTGATCATATTTTATTTATCAAGTCAATAACAAACTTCTCAATTCAATGCTAGTTCATATTCATATTCATATTCATATTCATAACAAGTAACATTTTTATGTCTTAAAATGATTGCTGTAGCCTTATAAAAATTAATAACTAAATAAAGCACCTAAAGAAACACCATTCTATGGTATTGATTTGAATTAAATATAACAATTCTGATATGCTGTACATTCACTGGAAATTTAAGAAGTATTATTCATTGTTGTTAAATCCTCAAACATCACTGGTGTATTTCTATGCTAGTGAGGTGTCTCTGACTTTGAATTAGTAAGTTCCAAATGAAAAATTAAAGCTTATAAATAGATATCTTCTGGACAAATCCGTAAACCTAAATTGTGTTTATTATCAACTTGACAGCTGGTTTACTTTTAAATTTTGACTGTCTTTTTTCATCTTTGGATTGTCTTGTTTTTCTCCCTGAGATTTCTGAAAGTCATTTTTCCTTTTCTTTTCTCTTTTCTTGAAGTTGTCTCCCCCTGTACCACTTCTTCCATATGAATATTTCTTTGCAGGCTTGTCAATATTCTGTTCTTCAGATTTCCAAAATGCATTGTAGGAACCAGGTGCTTGATACCTGTGAAAACAATGTCAAAATTATAATGTATATGCCTCAATTCCTTACAAACTTATTATTAAACTTAGCTGTGACTAATACATTGATTTGTCTCTTAGTTGCCGAACTTAGTATACATTTTTTGTTTTACCATTGTTCTAGTGTCATTTATAATGAGTATGTCATATTGCTTGCAACAAATACTTTTATGGAGTACCGGTAATCATTTCCTTCCTAAGTGACTGTTACAACTATATAAAATACAAATCAACATGGAACTAATGTAAAAAGAATGCATAATCAAACAATTTCTTTCTTTTTAAGCATATATCATAAATGATTTTCAAAAAATTTGTAAACACATTGTTTTATGAAAATAATTATTGTCATTGATACAGCTATCTACCAGGTACAAAGAACAGGGATAAATACAACTAGTTGTTTCAGGGTGTGAACGAAAATTAATAAAATAGCCTGTAAAAAGATGTTACATGTATATTTGCAGTATAAAATAATAATACAATTAAACAACAAGAATCAGAACAATATTTCACTAGGAAAACAGAGAACTGGAATTTTAATAAAATTTTCTGTACAGCAACAGTAATAAACTAATACAATAGTCAAACAGATTAAAATTCATATAAGATCTGAAAATACCTACCAAATGATTAAATAACACTTATCAGCCTAATATCTGCACAGAAGGGTGACAACAATGATGAAACAAACCATCGGGAAGATGAGTATGGCCTAGATTGTATCAATAGGTTCATATTTCCAAGAAAAAAAAATCGTAAGGGTCCCGCGGAACCCAGTGTCTTGCCTACTTTTGCTGTTAATCGCAGGCTCAACAAAAATGAGAAAAAAAATTAATAAAAATATTCCTCTCTATACTATCATTTGAATGTAAGTAGCTTCTGTCCAAGTTTGGTAAAAATCCAGGATAATTTATGAATCTAATAAATGTTTTAAAAACTTAAACTGCAGACTGTATGTAATGTTGACTGGAAGAATAAAATGCTTCGCTGGGCGCAGCTTGATACGACTGCAGAGGTCGAACCCTGAACAGTTGGGGCAAGTATGGACACAACATTCAAGCTTGATACAGCTCTGAATTTGATTGTGATTAAATATTTGACACAGCATAGGTTTCTGACACAGAAAGAATGTGGTCTAAGAACTTGAATTTTTTTAATTTACCTATTATGGTCCAATGTCCAAAATCAAAATACATGGTTAGATTCAGCATATCAAAGAACCCCATATATTCAATTTTAATTTCGGACCCCAACTTGGACAAACTTGAAAACTGGGCCCATAATCAAAAATCTAAACACATGTTTAGATTCAGCATATCAAAGAACCCCAAGAATTCAATTTTTGTTAAAATCATACTAAGTTTAATTTTGGACCCTTTGGACCTTAATGTAGACCAATTTAAAAAACGGGACCCAAAATTAAAAATCTAAATACACGGTTAGATTTGGCATATCAAAGAACCCCAAGAATTCAATTTTTGATGAAATCAAACGAAGTTTAATTTTGGAGCCTTTTGACCTCAATATGAACCAATTTGATAGCGGGGCCCACAAATAAAAAATCTAAATACATGGTTAGATTCAGCATATCAAAGAACCCCATATTTTCAATTTTTGTTGAAATCAAACAAAGTTTAATTTTGGACCCCAATTTGGACCAACTTGAAAACTGGGCCAAAAATCAAAAATCTAAATACATGTTTAGATTCAGCATATCAAAGAACCCCATATATTCAATTTTTGTTAAATTCAAACAAAGTTTAATTTTGGACCCTTTGGACCTTAATGTAGACCAATTTGAAAACTGGACCCAAAATTAAAAATCTAAATACATGGTTAGATTCGGCATAACAAATAAATAAATGTGGTCAAAGATTTTACAAATCTAATGTGCCATACTGTGCAATTAAAGATTACTCCTTGAAATTTTTCAATATTTGAAATTTGAAAAAAAAATAATATTTGAAGAATAATTCTTTTTAATTTCTGAAATCTGAAATGAGAAAAAATTGACCCCCCACAATTTCTTTTTACCCCCCCCCCCCCCCTTTTCCCCCAAAAAAATTCTTTCCCTCAAGATATGGTCATAATCTCAATTCAAATTTCCAATGGAGTTTGCAACCATAATTACCCATTTAAATTTACCATAGTGCTAACTTAATCTATTTTATAATAGAATTTAAAATATAGTGTCAAATCTTTCATATGGATTTTTTTGTAAAAAAAAAAAGATGCAACATTTGCAGATATTTTTACTGGTCTTCCTTTAAAAATATGCATTTCTTTAAACATAATTTAAAAGCAGTGTAAGGGAAGTAACCAAAACGTTGTATTTGGATTACCTCCCTTACACTGTTTTAAATTATCTTAATTGTTCATTAATCATTACTTTATACATAATTTTAAAGCAGTGTAAGGGAGATAATTTCAATGATGTATTTGATTTATCTCCCTTACACTGCTTTAAATTTTGTTTTGTACTAAAGTATTTGTCCATTAACCAGGACAACCTTGTTTTTTCCCCCTTTTTTGCCCCTAATTCCTAAAAGGTTTGAGCCATAACCCCCCAAAGCAAATCCTAACCATCCCTTTGTGGTATTGAAACTTGTAGTATAATTTCAGAGAGATCCATACACCGTTCCACAGTTATTGTCTGGAAACTAGAAAATGCTTATTTTTGGCCCCTAATTCCTTAACTGTTGGTACCATAACCCCCAAAATCAATCCCCACCTTCCTTTTGTGGTATTGAACCTTATGGTAAAATTTCAAAGAGATCCATTCACTTAAACTAAAGTTAGAGTGCGAAAACCAATGTGTCTTCGGACGACAACGACGACGCCAACGTCATACCAATATACGACCGCAAAATTTTTTTGCGGTCGTATAAAAACTAAGTCCATTTATAAGTAAAATACGGAAAAAATGGAACAAAATTTTATCAAAATTTCCTTCTAGATACTAGCTTTTGATCATAAACAAGCTTCTGTCCAAGTGTGGTACAAATCCAGGATAGTTTAAGAAAGTTGTTAAAATTTTAAAAACTTTAACCACAGAGTGAATGTAATGTTAACTGGCAGAAAAACTAAGTCCATTTATAAGTAAAATACGGAAAAAATGAATTTTTTTTTTTACAAAATTTACTTCTGGATACTATCTTAAGATCATAAACAAGCTTCTTTCCAAGTTTGGTAGAAATCCAGGATAGTTTAAGAAAGTTATTAAAATTTCAAAAACTTTAACCACAGAGTGAATGTAATGTTTCCTGGCAGAAAAACTAAGTCCATTTATAAGTAAAATACGGAAAAAATGGATTTTTTTTTTTACAAAATTTACTTTTGAATATAATCTTATGATCATAAACAAGCTTCTGTCCAAGTTTGGTAGAAATCCAGGATAGTTTAAGAAAGTTATTAAAATTTCAAAAACTTTAACCACAGAGTGAATATTTGTGGACGCCGCCGCCGACGACGGAATGTAGGATCGCTATGTCTCGCTTTTTCGACAAAAGTCGAAGGCTCGACAAAAAGATGCAGTATGGATTAAATTTGGTTAGAATCTATCAATATACTAACCCAAGGTCTGTGGAATCCAATGCTTCTTTAGATAACAGTATGCTAATGGCTGGTATATCTCTATTCACTTTTAATCTAAATAACAGACACAATGTATGAAGTCAAAACATAACAAAGTATTTATTGTGCTAGACCAGATACACATTTCATAAAATATTGTCTCTTAAGTGATACATGTGGCCAACATATTTGTAAATCCAAAACCTTTGCAAATGTTGAAGAGCTTTTCAACGTCTGCATAACACAAACTGTTGCTCATGGCATTTGTTAACAGTAAAAGGGAGACAAATCTTTATTAAATTCATATCTACTTTTATCTCCATTGGCCTACAGACCATGGTGAGCCAAAACAATTGTTAAACTTTTAGGTGAAACATTTAACTCTGAGAGTCTTGGTGTATCCTGAAGTGATTTTGTCATTTGTGAGTAAATGTCCACATGCTGTACACAAGTTAAAAATTCCTAGTGAGTGCTGGTAATTCAGTCAGAGGTATCTCTCTAAGGATTCACTAGATATCACATAACTATTGTTAATCACCTTCAATCAACAGAAATCCCACTGATTCACTCAACATCAGCTAGAGTAATGAATGACATTACCTGTACTATTCACACATTTTGAAATTAATCTAGTGGTTAGCAGAACAAAGTATGAAAAAATAATGAAATAGAGGAATCTCAGAAAACCTTTTTTTATAACTGCTTAGTTTTCAAGATTTTTGTTGTGAAATAAATAATGTTTTTACCTTTCAAGTCCTTCTATTTTGGGTTCCCAGTATTCTTCAATTCTGAAAATATCAAGGTGTTTTAGCTAAAACTGAGAGATATGTATAAAAAAAGTACAAAAACATCTTTATCTATATAACATTACAGGGTCAAGTTTCTTTTTATATTCTTAAATTCTTGTAAAATCTTGTGAAATCATTTTTCAATTTCAAAATACTAAAGGTTTTGTTATATTTTTTCAACAATATTAAACGTCAGAACTTAAGATGTGTCAATATTAAGAAGCTTTCCAAGAATTTGTTAGCTACTTAAACCATTTCAAATCAAAAGTAATTTAACAAAAGAAAATCTGCTCAAACACCAGGAGATTTCTTTCAAACTTTTAACTCCATGAAGTCAGACTGTAACTTTGGAATCTATTTGCTTTGGAAGATTATTGTTGCCTATTATTTATCTTGTATAAGTTATATAGATTCCTTTTTCCAAAAGCAACCAAACTTAACATCTGGAAATTATCTGTTTCGTTCACACAGCAATCACTATATGCTTCCTAGAAATAACTGAAGGAGCAAAAAAGTTGATGGAGGGATTTTCAGTAAAAAGTTGAAATGCTGGTTGGAAGTAAGTCAACAAAATATTTTCTTTGTAAAATTTAAACAGATCAGGGTAACTATTTTCAATACAACAATGGTTATAATATTCAATCATCAAAGTCATCTGTTAGATTAAGATATTTATCAATAAAAGTGACATATTTGGTTGGCTTTGGTCATTATTTTTAAGTTTGACCATTTATCCTGAATTAGTTTTTCGTACTGATCAATGATGTTGTTTTCACAGTTCATTTAAAGTTATGTTAGGTTATCATGTATTTACAGTTATAAATCCAGGTAATATATACAAGACCTTTACATAAAACTGCATTTATTCTCATGAAAATATACCTACTGCAAAATTCGTGAAAATAAACACGCTGCGAATGAATTACATATACAGTTTATATGTGTATACAAACCTTCTGTAGTAGACCTTTGAAATCTGATGAAGCCCCTAAATAAAAGAAATATACCAAAATGTAATAATCAAAGCACTGTAAGCGCTGTAGGCAGTTAACCAAAAACCAAGGCAAACGTAATTATGAAAACTGTGGCAGCGTTGCTTCAATTTTTTTTTTAAGACTTGAAAGAACAAACATTAAACATTCGTATATTGTACATTTATGTTCATTAAATGAATTGATTATTAAGGCAAATCAATTAATATTTCACCAAGGTTTTCAAAAGCAACTCATATATCAATGTAAATGACCCCCATCTTCACCCCCAAGTGCATGATGTTACTCCATACCAAGTTTGGAATAAAATGACAGGTGATTATAAAACAGTTGGTCAAACATTCTCGGGCTTTACACTGCTTGAAAGATTTATGTTTTCTTTAAAATGAGCCATAAATGAAAATTATTATAGGCCCAGAAATAATTTAATAAATAATTAAAGTAAATTCAATTAACCTAGACTCATTGTTTGCATCAATAAAATTTTATAATAAACAAGAATTAATTGTAACAGGATGCCGTTACGAAGTCTCCCAAACAAAGCCCCCATAATTCGTCATTCCCATGGTCTCCTGACATTGGGCAAAGTCCAGCTCATATTGGTTTGATCTAGTAAAGTGATATGCATATGTGACACCTAGGATATTGACCCTGTATGTCATTCAAATCTTTTTGAAATGATTAACAGGAATAAATATGGTTTAGGTGTGGGTATCTCGACCGTTTATAAGTTCTCAAACAGGAGGGGGTGGGGTGACCCCAGGGACTCCCCCTATATTTAATTTGATTTGTTATATTGTCCCATACATGAATACATATGGTTTAGGGGTGGGGATCTCGACCATTTCCAAGTTCTCAAACAAGAGGGGGTGGGTGACCCCAGGGACTCCACAAATATTTCATTTGATTTGTTATATTGTCCCATACATGAATATATATGGTTTAGGGGTGGGGATCTTGACTGTTTACAAGTTCTCAAACAGGAGGGGATGGGTGTCCCCAGGGACTCCCCCTATATTTCATTTGATTTGTTTTATTGTCCCATACATGAATGTATATGGTTTAGGGGTGGGGATCTTGACTGTTTACAAGTTCTCAAACAGGAGGGGTTGGGGTGACTCTAGGGACTCCCCATATATTTCATTTGATTTGTTAAATTGTCCCATACATGAATATTTTTGATTAAGGGGTGGGGATCTCGACCGTTTACAAGTTCTCAAACAACAGGGGGTGGGGTGACCCCAGGGACTCCCCTATATTTCATTTGATTTGTTATATTGTCCAATACATGAATATATATGGTTTAGGTGTGTGGATCTCGACCATTTCCAAGTTCTCAAACAGGAGGGGATGGGACGACACCCGGGACTCCCCCAAATTATTTTCATTTGATTTCTTTTATTGTCCCATACAAGTATATATATTGTTTAGGGGTGGGGATCGCGACGGTTTACAAGATAAAAGTACATTTTCAAATTGAAGAGGGTTGTGATGACCCCTAGGGACTCGTCCTATATTTTGGTTGATTTTTTTTATTGTCCTGTTCTCATTACTGAAGACTGCATGTGTCTATCACTTACTGTTTTCGAGAAATAGTCATTTGAAAATTTAAAAAAATAAAATTCCATAGGGTTCTATAGTAAACTCCTCCCTTCTTTAGGCCCCTCCAAATACCCCTAAATAGACCCGAATGCACAAACAAAAGATTAATGGCTCCGCTAGACATGTTAGTCTAATATTTTATGAAACCCTAAGTAAATCTGACAAACGGTCAAAGTTGTCTTCTTAGACGATTTGAGTGGATTCGGTCCGACTTGTCTCGGGGACGAGTTGTCCACATTACTTAAAACATCCCATCAACGTCGATTTCCGCATCTGTTTCATGACGCCGTTTCATGACCTCGTTTCATTCATAAAATAACAACAACCTTATTTGGCAAGATAAGTTAAAAATTACCGCCCACGTATATAACTTTATTTCCTCTATCATAGAGATTTGTTGTACATGAACAATATTCCTGCGCATTTTGCGCTTTGGGAAATATAAACGACTTGTAATTACCGATTTTCGGCGATGAAATATTTCATACAATTGTTCTGCGACATCGTAGCCAAGAGCACAGGGGATAATAAACTACGTACGGATTTCTATTGAGCACTACTTCCTATGTGCAACTTCAAAAGTTTTGGGTAGTTAGACGATCATTTAAGGTTTTTCTGGTTATATTTTTTGTATTCCAGAAATAAAAGTATTAAAAAAATGTCCAATTAGTTATAAATAACATAATAGCCAGCTAGATAATAACAATGGCACGTATTTCAGTATTTATTGGATAGAACACAAATCTAGGGTGCTCGCATAAGGCAGCTTAACTGCCTAAAAATGTTTATACAAAACGGCAGTCACCAAGGATAACATAATCTATTCTCCAACATTTGACATTGACTGATATATTAGAATTGATTACATTGATCAGATAACAACTGTTATTTAACAGTTCATCTCATTAAAAATACTGTATTTTCATACAAAAAGATATTAGGAAGATTAGGACATTCTGGCCATTTTTGCCCCCCCCCTAGATTTTCTTTCCCTGAAAGAGTTTTTAAGATATTTGATGAGTGGTTGCATATTTTCTATTTTTAGCCATAACAGACATATTTTTTGGATTGTAGGCATAAAAGTTTGGTCCAGATTGGTCTGATGGTTTCATGTGAAAACTTAAAAAAGTTAAGAATGACAATGATGATGGAAGCCAGGAAGTGGCATTAGCTCTTAAGGGATAGGTGCAATTACTAATCTGTAAATTGTCAAAATCAAAAGAGATCTTGTCTATTGCCCTCTTGATCTTTTCTGGTTTAGTTACATTTTGTGGTTACTCTCTCATTGAACCTCACACATATTTTCATTCATGATTTATCCTAAATAAAATTTAGTCTGACCTTTATTTTTCTTTTCATAATTTCCGCACAAGATATAGCTTTATTCATAGCATTCCCAGATCCATTCCAAGTCATCTGTTTTATTGTTGGTTCCTTCAGAAAAAGCAAAAAAAAAAACAAAAAAAAGGAATTATTTTTCTTTGAATAAATCAATACATATATGTATTGATTTATTCAAAGAAAAAAAAAGACATATATTGTACACTAGTAGTACTTAATACAGCACAATTTGGGTGATCCTTTGTACATGTAAACTATTTGACTTGCTGCTTAAAGGATTTGAAATTTGCAATTCTTGATAACACCACCAGTGGCCAAATTAAACTCCTTGTTTTGAATGAAAGGCATAAAATATCAGCAGGTTTTCTTTGCCACATAATACATGCAAGACAAAATGAATCATCTAATGAAGGCTTTGTAAAACTTATTGGTTTTTACATACTGTGTATTTATCATTGTGTTTACTTTTTAAAACATCTAAACTATTTTGTCTTTCAAAACTAACTGATCATGGAGTATATTAAATCACTTGTATTTTGAATCATGTTATATAAATGTAAATAGTTTGACACAAACCTTCATTTTTTTCATAGCAAATCCCATTAGATTACGTATTTTGCTTCCTGCATTGACTTTCATTTCAATACCAGTTTCATTAAGAATAAAGATAGGAGGTGCTTCCACCATCCTCACTTCTCCTTTATCATACTGTTCCATTTTACATCACTGAAAAATAATGCAATAAATAAAGTGGAAATATTTTTCATAGATACAATCCTTTCAGTATATTTTTACTGTCATTTTTTAGTGAAAATGCATGCCATAGTATATATGCAGAATGTAGACCAGAAAGGCATCCCAATGTCTATAGAATCATTCTTGAAATTTGAAACAAATAGCTTTTCACTTAACTGTAACTGTGTTTGTTAACATTTTCAATCATATCATAGAAAAACTGCATGAAAGTACTGGTTTTACAATATCAGAAATGTTTTGACCTTTTTTTTTACAAAAAGAGTGCACACACTGATATGTCTTGCCTTCTTTACATTACCATGATTGAAATTATTTTGAAAGGTTTTACTACAACATTATCAATGATCTATGTAAATGAGGTCAAGGTCAGATGAACCCTGCCAGACAGACATGAACACCTTACATGTACAATCATATGGGGCAGCCCTGATATTCCGACACCCCACTGGTCCGATGCCCCATTGGTCCAACATCGAATAATTGAACAGTAGTTAATATTTTTTTATATTAGAAAGCCTGATGATGTGTTTTTTTATAGTAAAACTGTGTCTACAACCAAATGTCTTGTGTCGATCGACTGATCCAAATTATCAAGGTAGTTTGGTAGACATTTGGTACCACATTTTCTTATTTTTACATGTATTTGTTAAAATAGTGGGAAATATTCACCAATACAACAGATAGAATGATCGAGACAAGCACCGCATTGTCTTGCATGGCTAAAAAACGAGTACAATCAATCTCTTAACTACAGTACACATTTTGTCAAACTAGATAAAATTTGTGAAGTTTTGTCGAATAACTTGCATGCAGATTCTTTACTGTGTATCTCTCCCAAAGCAGAGAAATAAGAAAGTTAAGCTGGTAATCAAATTAATGATTTCATTACTTTCTAGCCATCTAACAACAGAGGAGATAGACATGTTAGACGGTTATGGAGTTTTGTATGAAATCCGTATGTTGCTATGCAATAAACCACTTTTGATCCTAGCGGACCATCCTCTGTGTATTTTTCTAGTGACTGTATTCTAGTGTCAGTATGCCAAATTTATGAAGCTAGAGCAGATAAATTAAGGAATTTAAGACTGGACAATCTTCTCACAAAAAATATGTTGTAATGCCAAAGTAAAAGGCTATACATCCACAGCCACAATCACTTGAAACGCTTTGACAAAATCTTTCCAAATTTAGATATGTTGTTTCCTGTGACTAAAAGGAGGTCAAGTTTGAATATCACGATCATTCTTCCATCGACAATGTATATATTAAAAAACAACAACCCTTTGAAAGTGGGTTTCTGGAAAGTTATTCTAGTGACCACAAAATTCTATGGTTTCATATTAAATAAGGTTATAATCTCATAAACATATTTCTTTCATTATTGACTTCATGATTTCTGCAATACTATGTCATTTATGATTAACAGGTCAAGATTGATTTTAGCCTTTCCATTTCTGAACCCTACAAAAATTTATCTATTTTTTTTTACTTGTTCTTGTTTGGGGGTCCAGATTTGCAAATATCATTTTCATGTAGGAAAATCTGGTTTGCTGTTAATCTGACAGCCTCTTGTCTTTTATAGTATGTAAAATCGTTTACGGAGAAATGTTTATTTAACTAAATATCTATTCTAACAAAACCTTTGATTATTTGGAGAGAAGCAGTAAGAAATTAAGTCAGTTTTAAATTCGGAAAAAACACTTATATCAGCTGAACGATAATCATGATAATATGGACAATGACTATTAATAGACATTTTTGGAAAAAGAAAAATGAAAACACATCTAATTAACAGAACTGTTATATATATAAGGCAATATCAAGGATATAATTTGAAGTGATTTAAAATTTTCTTTTGGTAATATACATTTACATAACTATAGTTATTGTACATATTGTAATGTTATATATAGATTCTACCACTGGGTGCAGAAAGGGATAAATTGACGAAGAATTAGAGAAATTGTGTTATCTGTTTGTAAACTTTTGTAATTTAATCTGTTAACATATAGTTGTTCATTGAATCTCTTGATAGAGGAAATAGAGAAATGAACGAATGTATGTATATTTCGATCAAACTTTTAAACTCGCTAATTTTCGATTATATTATCAATTACTACAATTAGCAACTCGACAACTTTCAGCTTTGAAAGTTTTCAATCTATAAGTTTGTGTACAGTGTAGATGAACAGAAATCATCATGCTTGAAAAAAATATTCCCTTCTGATGGCAAAATGATACTTTTTCGGTAATGACAGTTTCCGAGATAAAATTACGTGAATGATGAGAGACTGCACTACCGAGGACTGTTCTTTACATTGTCTTTTTAGGGGATTGTAGTTTCCCATAGAACACACCGTGTATGAGTTAACCAAAACTTGCAAGGATCTCGATTGCTTTATATGCATATGGTCATAGTATTTCTTAAATACCAGATGGGTGGTATGGTATTATCTGTTTCTTTAACATACTTATAAGAAAGAGTAGTTCAAATACCACGCCAACAATTCTATGATTCTGTGAATAAATTTTCTATTACGTCAGTAATGTATCTTCCTTTGTAAGATTATTGGGGTGTCGGAATACACCTTATCGCTATTTGTCCGCAATTTCTAGACATGATAAAAGTTCCCGTAACATTTTGACGTCATAATAGAAAATATCTGACGCCACAATGGAAAAGTGATTGTTGTAGGACATCAAAAGTTCAAGCAGGACAGATTCTTGGGTCAAGCGGGAATAGCGATAAGGTGTATAATGGGGTGTTGGACCAATGGGTCGGAATAGCGGGGTGTGGGAATATCGGGGCGACCCCCTATCATACCATACACAAAATATAGTTAAATCTATAGACGTATTTACACTTGTATGCAAATTTGTCCGCCATTACGTAAAATCACACAGGTTCCCGTAAACTTTGACATCATAATTCAAAACATTTGACGTCACAATTAAAAAGTGATTGTTGCCTGACGTCAAAAGGTGATTTGGAGTAGATCTAAGGTCATTCGGAGGCAAAATATAGCTAAATACCAAAAGTGTAAATACGTTTATTGCTTACAGTATTTGAGAAACAGACCTATTACGAAAATTGAACATTGAGCAATGAAAAATGAGGTCAAGGTCAGATGAACCAAGCCAGACAACATGTAAACCATGAATTTATTCCATTTTTACGGACGACGACAGACGACGGACGCCAAATGATGAGTATAAGCTCACACAGTCTGGTCCTTTTGGGCAGGTGAGTTCATAAAACGTGTTAAATTCTGTTGTTTTTTTTCGTTCACCTTTCAACTTTCCATTCTATAGTTTTATTTTTCAATCGTTCTTCAGGTTCAATTTATGTTTTCGTTGTCAAAAAATATCTTTCTTGCATAAGATGTCTTCCGCTTTTTGGCAAACGTTTAAACGAGTTAGATAATATTCTGATTACAATCCGTTCCACACAAAATTTACAGCCTGAGTAAATCTAACTACCAGAAATCTACCATTGTAGCATCGACGCAAAAGTACCACAATACAACTGTACTCAAATTAGTTATTATTTCTTTTAACCTTCACATAAGAATTTTTAAATTATCCATTGTTAAAGTTATGAATTTTCACTCTAAATTATGTCAAAATAAGGAATCAACGATTAATTCTTCTTTTTTTCAGGGAGGGTTTTTTTTTTCTTCCTGTTTTTGCTTCTCACTTTACAATAATTGTTATGGAAGGGATGCGAAAATAAAGTTATTTCTATTTCAAATTAGTAAACAAAAATAAAATATTTTTGAGGATGAAATTTGAAAAAAATAGGCAGGACAGGAGTTTTGAGTAAAAAAAAAGGCAGGATGAGATTATTTGCAAAATAAAAAGGCAGGATGACAATTCATGAAAAAAAAAGTCAGGATAAACTAAAAAAAAAAAGGAGGACCAAATAGAGTGAAAAATAAAAAGGCAGGACCGAATAGAGGGAAAAATAAATAGGCAGGACAAAATTTTTCATCCTTAGCCCCCCAAAATGGTAGCTCCCTTATATCGCACATATATAGACCATCAGATGACCATATGGACAGGGTGATTCATATATTCTCAAAAACTTTTGTTCATTTTATTTTATTTTTTTTTTGGGGGGGGGGGGGGGGGGGGGGGGAGCAGAGAGGGTATAGAAGATTGCTGTTCCTTATGAGTGTGAAGGGGAGGTGATCTTTATTTATGTTCTCTTAGATTATTGTGCTTATTATTATCTACCACATTAAAACTTCCTTTTTTTATAGATCCATTCTATTGCTTCTTTTGCCATGTTATTGAATTTTAATTTAAAATAAGATCGGTTTCTTCACAGACCGACTAGTTGGTTTTAAAAACATGGCTGATTTCACACAACTATTATTTGTAAATACATACAAATCATTGAGTGAAGTATTTACAATTTGTATGTGATATATCCATAAATATATATTTAAGTCTGCACTCAGCCCTGTAATTTATTGCCAGACATAATTCATGTCTTTAAGTTTTTTTTTAGCTGAGAGAATGATTCTATACTCAAGTCAAATGTATTTACTGAAAACAACTAAGTGTTTTTATACATGAACAGTACACAGTCAATATGTTTAGAAGTTGAACCCAGCAGGATTATTTTTTTAGAACTCATTAATATCATAGTTGTCTTAGATAATAGAACAATCAAATTCATTCACGGAAATGTTCACAAATTTCTTTCATACGCATGATTTTGTTATTGCTCAGCCTCAGTAGGTTTGATTTTATTATTGCACAACCTCAATTACTTTCTTTGGGGTTTCAAAGATCTGTTAAAAACAGAAATTGTTACCATAATTCTAAAAATTTTGCTGAAGAAATGAATTTCTAAAAACTAGAAATATGGGAGAAAATTCCTAAAACAATGCCATAATAGCAGGTGTACAACTGAATTGCAATAAATGCAAAAACATTCTGTGAAGTTTCAAAGATCTGGGTTGTTTACTATAGTGGAAGTTGATTACACTAAATTGGTACAGTCTTTTGTAACTTTTGCTGAAAATGACTCCAAGTCCAGAAAAATTGGAAAAAAATTCTTCAAACTATTCCATAATAGCAGATGCACAACTTAAACATGTGTATAACTATCCTAAGAAGTTTCAGGGATCAGGGTTGAAAACTGTAGGAGGTGACATTACACAGATATGGTACCAACTTTTGTAAATTTTTCTGAAAAATAACTAAGTTCCCAAGTCCAAAAAATAGAGAGAAAATATTCAACAAACAATTCCATAATATCAGTGCATAACATAAGAGCAATTTTTTTGTGAAGATTCAGGGATCTGGATTGAAAACTGTATGAGGAGTTGATTAAACAAAATGGTACAATCTTGTAAATTTTGCAGAAGAATAACTTAGTTCCCAGGTCCAGAAAAATAAGAATAATTCCACAAACAATTCAATTATAACAGGTGCACAGCTTCAACATGTGTTTAATCTTTCTCTGAAGTTTCTTGGATCTGGGTTGACTACTGTAGGAGTAGATTATACAAATCAATTATTCACTTTTATCCGCCCATCACCATACTATAAGCTGGTTTTACTCTTCGTCCAACACAGGAATAAAAATATGATTTCCATATTTCTTGTTATTCATATTGACTATATAGGTAATTTACTTTTCCTAACCATGAACTATATGTTTGATGCTTCATATATTGAGATAAAACGAAAATAGGATGTTTGTCTAAGACAAAATCCAATGAAATACAAGAAATTCTAAATAAATAAAAGAAATAATGTTGACATTGCTGTTTTTTATCTTGAAAGTTTCCATATAAAAGATATAATGTTTATTCATTTTGAATTTTGAGGCAAGTGATACAAGCATGAACCTTGCTTTGAACTAAATTCACAGTCAGCTGAATTTTTAAGTGGCTAGTTCATAAGGAAACAATCTGCCAGAATACATGGCACCTTCACTGAGACATTATTTATCTTATTCCAAGATGACCCGCTTTTGCTCTTACTTTAAATTACTGTATGCTTAGCAGAGAAACAGCCAATATTATTGTCTAAGTCTTTGGTTTGACCTGGCTGGGAATCAAATTTATGACGCCCAAAATTGAGAATATATTGACTATCAGTTACAGCTTTTCCTTTTTTCTTGATTTGGGCTTTTCCAAACCACACAGTAGTATTGTATATACAAAATCTTTTCTTAATAATTTCTCCTATCCTATTTAAAGTAGGTGGTACATATTACACTTGAGGTGTTTAAAATAAAATTAGGTCATCTTTTCTCTTCCACAGTCATGTTGTTATCCTAAAATAATTACCACATGACAGTTTGATCAGATGCAAAAAGAGTCATCCCTTAAAAATTATTCAGAAATTTACATTAAAAAAATCTTCTGTTTCATATATGACTCCAAAAATTCAAGTTATTTTCTTATTAAAGTGGTTCAATTATTTCATTGTCATTTTCACAATATAAGAATTCTCAAGATTTTACTACACTCATAAAACCAGAATAGGGTTTATTTTCTCTTAATGGTAATCAGTATAACTAGATTGGAGCAAATATCTTCTAATCCCCCGGAGTCAAGTGCACTTTCATATCATAGACCAGAGGAGACTCGACTACTCTGGGGACGGAAAGAAGAGAAGGGCTGTGTTGTCTCTCAACAGCAACTCATTGTGCAACAAATTAGATGTCTATGGAAACATATTTTGCCTTGAGGACGTTTTGGACATTATGCTGGTTACTGTCTCTATTTCACATCTTAATTGAGTGAAAGGGAGGATTATAAATCTGATCCATAATATTTCTCATGGTAGACAACAGCAAAATCATGTAATGACTCTTATTCAAACAAAATAAGGAGAATCTAATTTTCTATGAATTCAAAAACCTTTTAGCTCTAAGTGTCCATGATGAAGGGTAAATAAAAAGATACTTTGAGAACATCAAACATGATATGTGTGATTTCTCAATTGATAACACAGAATTAAAATGGTTGCCCTCTTCATTTGGAATAGTTCTCACTACTTTATTACTTCATCCTTTTAAAAGAAAATTAACACAGTGAAAAAATCAACACAGTTTTATATTTATTCTGTTTTCAACATATATAACAACATCTACATAAATTCTTAATGAATGCATTTGATTTATGAAATTGAAAATTTAACAATTTTCTTACTTTGGCAAATATGCTTTTAATCAATATAGCAAAGCTTTTACAATAAATGATAATTTAAAATTATTTGTCCTAAAAATTAGTTCTTATTTTAGGTAATGTTCAGCATAACATTTGTTGTTTCGTACTTAGAAACACTATGATTTCAGTATGATGCTTTGACAGTTCACTGATGTAAACAAAAGTAACCATTCACAGTGTCAATTCTACATGATCATCACATGTAGGTTATGCATGGATACAATTATAAATGATAAACTGATAAATGTTTTGTTTCACTTTCTGAATTTCTTAAACAATGGATGGTTATGTTCTCTGTTTCTTTTAGATCTGTATTCCATATAGAGTCTATCATCTGCTCCTGACATAGAACTCATACTGCCAGACTTCCTCATCATCTACAAAACAAATCATTTTCATGGTTACGTCAAGTTAATACACTTATTATATATTATTGATAAAACGTTGTAACTAAACCTGTATACTTTGTGTTTCCCAGTCAAAATATTGATGCAATTATCAGTACTTAAAATTAAAACTAAATTCACTACAATCTTTTTTATATCAAAAGTGCAAAAAGGTATGATTTTATTGTACCAGTTAGCAAATAAAGCATTTTGAGCTATCTTTCAGTAACTTTTAGAATTTAGCTACTCATTGTAAAAGACATGATATACAGTTAATTGTCAAAAAAATTTCTTTATTTCAGGCAAAGAATTAAGACCACTTTCATTTAAAAAAATTAAAAATAAATCAGATCAACTTTAAATGTTCACAATTAACAAACATATGGTGAATACACATGTTACTTTAATGACGCACCTGAGATTCAAGTCACTGAATAAGGACAGTGTGCAAATATGTTTTAGTCCCACGGATTCTTAAATGTAAACATATTCTGCACATCTAACATTATGGTATGGGTTATTCTCATTGATGAAGGCTGTATGGTGACAATTGGTTGCTTTTGTTCACATCCTTTGGTCTGTGGTGGATAGTTTTCTCATTGACAATCATACCACATCTCCTTATCTTATAGTGTACAAGAAAGTTTCTAACACATGATATTTACACCCAAGTTTCTCCAAAACATACAACGCATATGTGTGTTACACCCCTGAACACCTACACCAAAGATTCTCTAAAACATACAGTGCACATGTGTGTAACACCCCTGACACACATACAACAAAGTTTCTCTAAAACATAGTTTAAATGTGTGTTACATCCCTGACACACCTAGATCTAAGTTTTCTCTAAAATCTACTGTGCACAGGTGTGTAACACCCCTGACACACCTACACCAAAGGTTCTCTAAAACATAGTGTAAATGTGTGTAACACCCCTAACATACCTGAGAGCCAGGTTCTCCGCCCTTCTCCTCCTCTGCATCCTGTTCTGTGGCAGCTAGAACTTTCTGTAACAATTGTACCTGCTCATCTTTAGTACCATAGTATAAATTTTCCTGCAAGAAAACATACAAGTTTATTATCATATTCATTTATCTGAAATAACACTTTGCTCTAACTGTAACTTGCCATATTTTTAAGAGCCAATCCGCCAGAAAACCATGCAATATTCAGAAAATCGTCCAAATCGACAATCACAACTTGACAAATTTTTATACATCATCTTAATCCTTGACATAAAATAAAAGAATTTGACCACTTAATTTTTCCCAGAATCGTATCTATTTTTAGTAACAGCCTCATTTGCATAATTCTGTAAATTCATAATGAAACCAAGGAAAAATCCAACTTTTTTATGCCTTTTAAGAATGACCCAGAAGCATATTAAATGGGGTAGTTGAGTTTTTAGAGTAATGTCAGCTGAAAATCATCCATTTTACTATGGTATGATCAATACAAATGAAAATTTAAACGATTTGGCACATTGCCAGGAGCAGGGACACAAAGGCGGGTTTTTTCATACATGAATTTACATGGTTTTCATTCGCTTCTATCTTGCAAGACCCATTCCGGATTTGTTTGCAACTTATATCGGTTTTAACTATGGGGTATGTTTTATATCAAAACAAAATATTAAGCTTGGCAAATGACTATTATATGTTAATTTATGCCTTGGAAGAATGGTGATTTTAGTCCCAAATTGACACATTTTGATTTTGATTTTAATTAAATTCTAAACACAATTGGTACTAAAATGGCTCATAAAATCATTCGAACAAGTAAAATCAATTTGTCTGAAAAATGAAATAAGACGTATTTGTACTGCAAGTCCAAAAATCAATAAATTGTCTGAAACCAGGGAGTCCATCTTTTATGCTCTTCCATTGACTTATCTCCCTTGGGTAGATCTCAAACATGTCAGCTCCCAGTATGGTTTGGCAGACAAATGTTTACAGTGAAGTTTGTGACTTTAATAATCTAGGATGAGCATGTGGGCTGTCCCAGCCTTATACATCTACATATTACAAACTATTTAAGATATCTGAATGCACTAAAGACCAAAATAGCATTTCCAAAAAAAATAATTACTGCCAAGAAATTGGACAATCATGACAATAATTTAGTGAATAAACATGATAAATATTGATTGGAAAAATAAGTCCATGAACAGCAAAAAGTGTTTTTAGATTTCAACGAGCAAAACAAAAGTATTCTAAATCATTCTTCGTAAAAAAAAGTGAGCGAGTGGAACCACCTTGCTCGCACCAAAATTGAGATTGAGAGTGTCAAAACTGCTCTGGCGCACGATCAATAAATTAACGACACTCTCTCTACCGTGGTATTGAAACCAGCATTGGTAACCAAACATATTCATACAGATACAGACTACCATTCATCTACATTTAGGAAGTCTGAATAATACTGAAAGCTTATGGTGCAGAATTTCCAACAGGACTCCTTATTTTATATAAGACAAGGAGTGGTTTATTTTCCCATGGTTGTTACATCATCTTGTCTTTGAATATGCTCGAAGTACAGGGACTTTTATGGAATTCATTGACATGATAGTCAAGCAAGATGTCAACATCTCGTCCAACCCTCTTCCAGCAAAGCCAAAGCTGACCAAGGATCTTCACCCTTTCAAAACAGGCTGTATACAGGACGAGTTATTCCAGTAGGAACAGGTACAAATCTTATAATCAATTTTCATTTGTTCCATATAGTCAATCTGAAATTAGGGGACCAACAATTGATACATTAGCTAGATTAAAAAAAGGGGGGGGGGGGGGTGCTGAAGGGGCATGTTCATATTCTTTTACACCTGACCTGTTTCTAAGACATCTTATTTATTTCCTATGGCAAAGTGCAAGCAAATAATATATATCCGTATATACATTGTTCTGTCTTGGGACCATTTGATTAAAAAAGCAAGGGGGAGGGTTAGAATGGTCAAAATATTTATGTCCTTGTCAGCTTAGGACAGAATTTAAATTTTCAAGCTATTAACCAGGGTACAATATATATTTATTTTCTGCTTTAAAAAATCAATTTATAGACCAGAATCATGATAATAATCAAAATCTATTTCAACATATTCAACGTTTAGCAGGTCAGGTTTTTATTCTCTTCCCCTAAGTTACATTTTCAGTTCTTACTGGAAGTTGTTCAGCTCTTTGTCTACTAAAAAACTTTTATCTCGTCGAAAAGCCTCCTACAAATACATGTTTTACATACAACATACTGTACATGTAACACTAGACAACTTTATCCAGAGAATAATATTTTTTTAATGAACTAAATAGGCCATGGAGACTAAAAAAATCAAAAGCATTGCAAACTTTTGTAAAGTTCAATTTTAGGACCCTACATGTACATGTATGTAGATTACTTATAGAGCCCTTTTTAAAAGAAAAAACATACATTTAAACTACATGCACAGTGATGCTACACTACCCTACATTTCCTGTCTGATATATTTTATTTCATGTAAAACAAAATTGAAGAATTATTTTATAGTTTAACACTTTTTATTTGTAGAGCTATATATATGCAAGCAATGCTCAATTAAGATGAATTTTTGTAAAAGTGACAATAGCCAGGTCAAACTAAATACATGTATAGAAGAAGATATTGGTAAGTTATTATTAACTTATATATTAATTTAACTGTTTGTATAACATGATAATCATACAAAGTATATGTAATCACTTATATAATAATATAATTATACAATTACATGTTATACATTTGTACATCAGTTTTATTAAACAGGTCTTTGGTAACTTGGTTTTCCCATTGAAAAATCACTTTGCTAATTTTAATTTGTAGTACTATATTGGGCGGCTCCTATAGTTTCCATCCAATAACTAACAATGACTAACGAACTGTTCATACATTCCATTTCAATTATTTTATTTATTAATACGTATTACTTTTACTGTTAAGTCTGTTTTTTGTGATATCCATTTTACGTGACTCTGTATTTATGTATCCCGTCATACTTTGAACGACAAAATTATTTTATGTCTACCTGTGCGAATTTCAAACGCGCCATTTTACGCCAGTACTTAAAACCTTCCATCGTTTATGGGTGGATTTTACATACAAATGTAGATATATAAAATCGTATAATATAAGCAAAATGAGGATGTTAAATTTGATGTATGCCTTTTTGTGCTTCTTCGTTACATTTGTTTGTTTTTATAGTGATTAAGATGATAAAACAATGTTGACTGCTGTACCCCTATTTTTGACAATTTTACCTATTGTGTCTGTTTGTTTTGTTCAAGCATTGTTGTCAATATAATGGAATTTGATGCAACTGTCATACAAGTGAGAGGTTTATTATCTAGCTATAAAACCAGGTTCAATCCACCATTTTCTACATAAGAAAATACCTGTACCAAGTCAGGAATATGACAGTTGTTATCCATTCGTTTGATGTGTTTGAACTTTTGATTTTGCCATTTGATTGGGGACTTTCCTTTTTGAATTTTCCTCTGAGTTCAGTATTTTTGTGATTTTACTTTTTCAAATATAACATGTATAAAAGGGGGAGATTTTTATTGGTACTTTTGAAGATATTTCACCTGTTCGATTAATTGATTGGTTGTTGGTAATGCTAATGTCCAATGGCAAATAGTTCATGCATGTTTAGGACAAGAACAAATTAAAATAAATACATTATTTGGGTTCTTAATATGCTATATCTAACAATGTATTTAAATAATTTAAGATGTTGCAATTGGGCCCCATTTTAAATTGGTTCACATTGATTTAAAATGGTCCAAAAAATTTTTTCTTATTTCTACACAACTTGAATTCTTGAGGTTCTTTTGATAAACAAAATGCAAATGTTTTATATTTAGATTTTTAATTTTGGTCCGGTTTTCAAATTTGTCCACATTTTAAAGTCCAAAGGGTCCAAATTTTAACTTAGTTTAATTTTAACAAAACTTGAACTCTAATTACAATGAATAAGGGTTCTTTGAATGATAGATAGAAATAATCAAATATCCTGAATATAAATATGTACTTAGATTTATGTTTTTGGTCCCAGTTTTCAAGTTGGTTCAAATGGGGTCCATAATTTAACTGTGTTTGATTTCAACAATAATTTTAAAGATGCTGATTCAGCCTGAATCTAACCTGTATTTAGTTTTTGGGCCCTATTATGAAATTGGTTTACATTGAGGTCCAAAGGGTCCAAAATTAAACTAAATTTTAAATCTTAATTTGATCTTGGGGTTCTCTGATATGCTGAATCTATTAAACTTTATCTTTATACCATATTTATTCTGTGTTAGAAACCTATTCTTTGTCAAATATTTAATCCCATTACAAATTAAAAGCTGTTATAGCTTGAATGTTCTGTCCAAAGTTCCAAACTTGCATTTTTTCTTCATCTTCCACAAAATTTGTCCTTTTCTGAGATAACTGGTGTTATCTTTTTAAATGAAACATTAGTGAAAAGAAAAGCACAATATGTGGATGATTATCTGATGTCAAACATTTTCAAGATGGCCACCAAGGATGGCACAAATTTCAACACTGGTTAATTTAATGAAAATTGTTAATTAGGGATAGTCATGGTAGTTTGACTTGCTAAACAAAGTAAGGTTGTTTTTTCCTCCAAAATGGCAAACATTTTCAAGATGGCCTTATATGAAAATTGACATTAAGGAATTATAGCACTTTTGACATGCCAACAAAACAATGAAATTTTTTTCAAAGATGGACACAACAAATAAAGGGTAAAATTTTCAATTTTGTTGAGTTTGATTTTAAAGAATATTGATATTTAGCTGTACTTTGACACAGAGAACAGATATAAAGATGGCCACCATTTCAAAGATTGACACTAAAAGCGGTCAAATTATCACCACTGTCTGTTTTCAATGTAAAATTATATTGAGAGGTAATTTGACATGCCAAGCCAAATGGAGGCAATTTTTATTGTTGTAAAGATGTTAATGGCTATTTGGACATGCTTAAAAGGAGTGGATAATAACTATTCTGCAAAAATGATTTGGCTTTAGTTGGGAGAATTTTGTAACTGCATCCACTTACAGTAAAAGTTGTCAATTTTATTTCCTGTCAGTGGTATATATGAAATTAAAAAAAAATGTGGTATGATTGCCAATGAGAACAAATGACATAGAAGTAAAGCTATAGGTCTTCAACAATGAGCAAGACCTATACTGCATATATATTCAGCCATAAAAGGCCCCAAAATAAGAAAATGAAAAAATATGAAAACTAACAGCCTGGTTTATGTATGTATGTTTTGTGGTTTTCAGATCTAGACTCGCAGCTAACCTTTCTGTCAGTGTCAACAACAACTGAACTTTCACAGCAGTCAACATCAGATTGGGAGACTGATAATGCTTCTAACAGAAACAATTTCAACCAACCAAACAAGCAACAGAAACTTTCCAACTTTAAAACATCAGTTAAATTTTCCATGGGATGATGTCTCAAAAAATAACAGTTCATCATTTATGGAGATTTTAATGTTATGGTTTTTCTTTTACAAGAAAGTTAATGTACACTTGTTTTATAGTAAAACCTATAGCCGTTCAAGTATAAAAAAACACATTGAACTTTATTGAAATTTGAAGATTCATATGACTTATTTTAATTCTGTTATCTCCGAGGATGTGATGTAGAGCATTATAGGTACAGTAATCTTAACAGCTATCCAATTTCATTCAAAATTCTTTATAAATTTTGCACTGGTATATATAGACTAAGTAATTTGTTTTTCGTCTAGTTATGGGATTTTTTTTTAGAAGCATTTATGATTTTCATGTTTGTATTGACCACATTGCAGCAACATAGATATAGGTACCTGGCAAATCTTGCCTTGTTAGCATACTAGGCTCAAAGGGTCATAAAAAAATTTTCCATCACTAAGTGTCTGTTAAAATCATCTGTTTACAGTTTTCACTTTTAAACCATCATCTTAATAACTTTTAGAAGAAGTGTCATACATATATATATATGTATACAAAATTTAAAAACTTTTCAATATATATATATATATATATATTGATAAAAACTATCAACATGACAAGAACTAAATACCCAAAATTTTTCTGAAAAATTGGACATAACATCTATGAGCTATTGTCCCTGAAATGTGTAAATTTACAAATTTTCACAGTGTTCTGCTACTATCCGACAACTATATCAATATATTATAAGAATAAATTGCAAAAGTGGTCAGAAGAAACTTTTTTTTTACAGTCTGAACTTATTCTGAATTGTTTAACTTCTAATTTAAATTGATTGCGTTTGAAATATGTGTTTTTTATCGTTTTAGGTGCACAATTTGTCAATACGATCTATTTCGGCTCCTGGGAGCCTCTAGATTTATAATGAATAATTTGTATTTATGTATGATTATTTTCATAATGTATTAAATGAAACATTAATTATTCTTTTCCATTTGTTGTTATACTTATTTATAAGTCCAGATCCTATCATATGTCAGTAGTTACAAGTTAGACGGCAAAATTGAGAAAATTTGAATATGCAGGTTACCCCATTTTGTTGTGGCATATACCAGACACCAACATTATTTGCCGAGCTTGATATTTTTTTTGATTGGGTATATATAGTTATACTTTGCAAGTAGATATGTTGTTTTACAATAATAAACGGGTCTTGGAGTATTTTGGCTCTGAAAGATGACCAAAATCAGCCATTTTGGACATGTAGCTAAATAAGACATATTGAAACAGTTAGATTGTACATACACTTAATAGACAGCATTGTTAATTCTATGCATTCTTACACTTAAAGTGATGTATTACTAGGAACAACTATCAAAATATTATAAATGTTACCATATTTATTTATTTAAACCAGCGAAATATGCCAAAAAAGGCTTATTTTTGCTGTTTTCGAGCAATTTCATCTGTTAAAACATGGCGCTCAAAAAATAACCAGATCGGTTCAATATTTTCCCAAAAAAATTTGTGTGGTTATTTACATTACTAAGGTGCACCAATATGCCAAATATTAACTCATTTGGAAAAAGTGACATTCGGACGGTTTTGCATGGTTTTCTGGCAGATTGGCTCTTAAATTATAATGCGCTTATAAATTTGGGAAATAAAAGCGACAATTCTTCAATTATTATTTTTGTGATCAGAAGGTTCTAGAAATATTCATTAATATATGACATTGATATGAAATAAATGTTTCCAAGTCAAGATTTTAAGACAATGATGCATATGTTTATTATATTTGCATTATATCATATTTCCGGGGTATATGCACAAGAATATGCCTTGTTTACTCTCTCTATCATGGTATTTGTATTTTTTTCCCTTCACGAAAAGTTTTTTTTAAGTGACTGTTTTTTTCATGTCTTTATTGCAAAAGAACAATTGAATTCAATTGCAAATATTTAAATGAACTATCCCTATATAATATTCGGCGTAATTAAACAGATTTATCATGTTCAGGAGGACTAGTAGGGGTATGAGAATAACACCAATCTTGAGAAATATTTTCTTTTCCTAATGGCCTAGGAAATGTTTTCTTCCCTCAACTGGTATTTTTGGTACAAATACCCCTTCTGAACATGATATATCTGTATTATAAACACATACGCTACAAATATAATTTACCTGTTCCATGCCAGCTAGTTTAGTGATGACTTTGTAACTGTATCCCTGATTGACCAGAAATCTTTGTCTCTTTAAGGAGTAATGCACCTCTAGTGTATCCTGGGATACCAGTGTATAGAAAAAAGCATTATATTCCTCAGCTATAGCACCTGGTAAAAGTGAATTTTAAAATATGACTTGTGTAGCAATTGATAAATTTCTACATTCTACAAATAGTATGTTCACAATAATATGAAACTGAACTGCCTAGAAAATAGCTCTAACAACTAACTTAAAAGTAGTTACATTAAATTCTGTATAAACTGAACTGTAAGACAATATTAAACTTGGCTATTTATGCATATCCCCAGAGCAAGGCTTTTATTGATACTAAAGTAGTGAAAAGGCTCCATACAGTATATGCTTTTATTCATTAAAATATTTCTTTTTAAATATCTACAGATTAACAGGTTCTGTTATTAAGAATTCAGGAAAATTTTATCAAACAAAGAAATTCATAAAAACGCAAGTCACAGTATTTCTCTTTAAAAATGCATGCAACCTAGAAAATTAGGAATTATAGTCATTTCATACCCCCCATTTCGTACACTGGCAAAAACCATTTCGTACCCTGACAATTTCATACCTTGACCATTTAGTACCTTATGGAATATTTACATGTATACCATTTCGTACCTCATGGAAGTTTTTATGTATGCCATTTCGTACCTCATGGAAGATATATATGTATGCCATTTCGTACCTTGTGGAAGATTTATAGGTGTATCATTTCGGCTTGCACATTGTATTGAAAACCATCTACAGACAAAGTTATTATTTGGTTGTCTGTAATTTCTCAAATTGAAAAAGATATAGCAAGTTCTGTGATGGGTCACATAAGGTGCAAATTCTTATGCAAACATTTTTATACATGGCTATCTTCTTGAGTGAATATCAGCTTGTGCCCTTTTTCACTGCATTTCCTGACAAAAAAACAACTGTTAATAACTATAAAAACAGTTGCAAATAATTATTTCTTTGTTTATATATAATAGTTAATTAACCTCATATTTTTAGAGTTGAAAAATTAATTAAGGATAAATCCTGCAAACAAACAAAGTGTAATTAAAATTATTAAAGTTTCCAAGTGCTGCTTAATCAAACTAATCATCAGTCTTTATAACATTTCTACGTCTGGATGCGTTTTATTTATTTTATATATGTATTTAAAAAAAAATAAAATCATCACGAAATCTTTTATATCTTAAAAAATGACAATGTTTGCAAATATATGACACGAAAAGTAAACATGTATTTAGTCTATGAGGTACAAAATGGAAGATGTATTTGGCCCATAGGGTACGAAATGGTGAATGTTGGGTACGAAATGGTCAAGGTACGAAATGACTTGCTACTGAAAATTAGCACTAAGACCCCCAAACCTTTTTTAAATGTCCCAAAAAAACATTAAAAAATGCCTCAACACAGAAAAAAACCTTTAAAAAACCTGCAATCTTCATTATACAGAATTATGGGATAAAAATTTGTAAAAATCTAACTTTGCAATTTATGAAGTAATTTTTGTTATTTGTTTTTTTAGTTTCACATTTTATCAAGTTTGGGCCTTTTATAGCTCACTATACAGTATGGGTTTTGTTCATTGTTGAAGGCTGTACTGTGACCTATAATTGCTAAAATCCATGTTATTTGGATTCTGTTGGGATAGTTGTTGTATTGGAAATCATACCACATCTCCTTATTCAATATTCCTTTATAAAATGTTAAAACAAACCTTTTTTAGCTCTGAGAATTCTGCCCATTCTCTGAGCTTCTTGTCGACGTGATCCACCATGTGCTGATATTTGTATCAATACATTGGCTTCTGGTAAATCAAATGATGTGTCAGCTACCTATCAACAAAAATACATTTGTATATATCTAACATAAATAAACTGCTTTGCCAAGCGCAGCTGGATACGACCGCAGAGGTCCAACCCTGAACAGTTGGGGCAAAAATGGACACAGTATTTAAGCTTGATACAGGTCTGAATTTGGATTGTAATTAAATACTTGACACATTATAGGTTTCTGACACAGAATAAATGTAGTCTAAGAACTTGAAATTGGTTATATGATTTGAATTTATATTCAATTGAAGATTTCTTGCTGTTGTGCAATACACTGTGCTGTTGCGCAACTTAGTAAATCTGTTGTCAGACTATCTACAAAGAATTAACAAAATTAGAAATTTTCTTTTTAATTTCTTAAATCTTGAGGAAAAAAAATTGCCCTTGGTCTTTTTTTACTTTTTAGAATAGAGCATTCTTTCTGGAAATTATTTTGTAGCCAACATTTTGTCTTGTTTTAAAATATCTTACAATTTGGAGATTAAGTTTTTTCACAACCAAAATGAGGAGTAAGTTATTTGCAATTATGTTCTGATTCAGAATGGCAATTCAACCAAGTACCAATATATAATATTTAAGATACAAATAGTTTACAAAAGGAAGTATATTGTATAACTAAATCTAATTGAATGTAACTGTACCTTTGATACAAATATAGTGTTCACTTTAGGATTATGTACAAAATTCTGTAAAACCTGCATTCTCTCTCCTTGGGATGTAGGTCCATATAAATATGGTCTGAAATCATAAAAAATATAAAATTTTAATGTTCGTAATGGGAGATATTTTCAATTCAAACTTTTTAAATTTGATACTTAGATACTTACTTGATTGAGTGTTTCAATTATTTGAAATTCAACAGTTTAGATGGGAGAAGTTTATCATATGGCATGAAATGTAGTTGTAAAATTCATTTCTTAACGATTTTCCAAAAGTTTGTAAGCAACTACTGACATTTTTTCTGCTTTTTGATCTGCAACACATTGTATTCTGTCTGTATGATTTATCAATGGTCATTGTTTTTTTTCAAGCTATCACAATTGCAAAACTAGAAAATGGTAGAGACTATGACATCACAACTGAATTTTTTACCATTGAAGTTCATATTGATTGGAAAAAATAAACAGATGTTCAGGACACATATAATCAGCCTAAAAATGAATAAAACAAGAAGTTTATCAATAAGCTACTGTAAATGTTGAAATGTTGACTGTGGGCAATTTTGTGTAAACTAATTTGTAGTTGCCATAATACCATGGCGATTTTCCCCAATGAAAGGAATTTGCTGGATAGATGTATGGACAAATTGCAACTTGTGTGTAAAATCTAACCATATGAATTGCTGGTCATAATTAGATTGATTAATTTGATAATACATAATTTCTTGGAATATCTTTTTGATGTTTGATGTTTTATTTATTTGACTTTTGTGTGTTTTCCCTTTCCTGAGATCAGCTGTTATTTTGTTGGTCGATGTTATTGAAGAAATGAAGATAAACAATATAATATAACATCTTTACATGTCATTTCATCCATGTAAACATTATTCAAACATAAAATGTTGAGTTTGATTATAAACATTATTCAAACATAAAATGTTAAGTTTGATTATAAAAATTATTCAAACATAAAATGTTAAGTTTGATTGTAAACGTTATTCAAACATAAAATGTTAAGTTTGACTGTAAACATTATTCAAACATAAAATGTTGAGTTTGATTATAAACATTATTCAAACATAAAATGTTGAGTTTGATTATAAACATTATTCAAACATAAAATGTTAAGTTTGATTGTAAACGTTATTCAAACATAAAATGTTGAGTTTGATTATAAACATTATTCACACATAAAATGTTGAGTTTGATTATAAACATTATTCAAACATAATATGTTGAGTTTGATTGTAAACGTTATTCA